GGAGCCCCCGACGAGCCTCCTCGGCTCCAAGCTGTCGGTGGCCGTGCCATGGACCAAGAGGGCTCCGGGCAGCCCCGAGCCGGCCCCGCCGACCAAGGTGCCTCTTACCCCCAATCAGTTGGAGCCGCCCACGTCGGGCGGGTCGAACGGGGTGCTGGATGTGCTCGGCCGCCGCCGCCGGGGAGGTCTCATCCCGCGGCCGTCGCCCGCCGCTTCTGGACCGAGCGAGGTCGCGATGGTAGGGATGCGCAGGTGCAGCGCGGCTGTTTCGGCGCCGCTGGGCCCCGTGCGTGCCGCCATGGTGATTCTCGCTCGCTCCCAGGCGCTTCCCCCGCTCCTCCTGGCCATCCTGGTCCCAGCGTGGGGGTCGGGGCGCGCCCTGCGCCCTTCGCGCCTCGCCCTTTTCCCAGCACATCCCGTGCCAGCACTGGCACTGGCAGGTCTGCGCCTTTCGTGGCCGATCTGTCCGCCTTGCTGCGCCTGTTTCCAGGCGCCAGCATCGACGTCACCCACTGGGCCGCTGCTCTTGCCCAGGTCGGGATGGGGACTCGATGCTCCCTTGCCGCTTTTACCCGCACATCTTTCTGCGCGCTGGAATGGGACGACTCGTACTTGTCGGGGTCGGCTCCCCGCGATCCTTGGCCGTGCCCTCCCTCGCCGCCTCTTCCGCCGCCACCTGGTCACCTTACGGGTCGCGCGCGGGAGCGCTGGCGTGTGAGGCGCGCCGCCCGCACGTTGTCGCAGCATGCTGTCGTTGCGCTCAACTGGCTCACCTTGGGTCATCCCAGCTTCGCTCCCGCCGAAGCTCGGGTGCGGGAAACGGTCACACCCTGCCAGGAGGGAGTTCGCAGTCGCCTCGAGCGTCTGTGTCGGATCGCAGTTCGCCTTGCCCGTGGTGGCAAGAGCGACCTTGGTCGGGCTTTCGCCAAGTTCGACTCCACCGAAGTCTCGCTCCATGGCCTGGCTACCCATGTTGCAGCTCTTGAGGCTTCGTTCACCTCTTCCTCACAAGTGCCCGCCCCCATGCGGCAACTCCCCGTCAGCGCGACGCCCCTGGCAAGCTCGTTGGCGGCCGCGGCAGGCTGGGACTCCACCCAGGCTGAGCCTTTCGACCTTCGGGTCCAGGCGTCCCGCATCAAGTGGGATTACTCTCCTACGTTTGATCCCACTCCGTACTTGTCCGACGATCTGGTACGTTCCGCCTTTCATGACCCCGACGTCATGCGGCTACCAGAGGACGAGTGGCCTTCGGGCTTTTCGGGTGCTCGTGTGCACATGGACCGCGAGCAGCTGTGGGAGCTCCTGCGCAAGTGGGACTCTTGTGGCGCCCTGTATCTGACTCCCTCCGACAACCTCGCCTGGGACGAGGCTTGTGGAGCGTTCAGGGTCCCGAAGGACGAGGCTCATGACCGTCTCATCCTGAATCCGACGGTAGTAACAGTCGTTGCAGCAGCGTGTCCTCCAGCACTCAGCGCCTCGGCCAGGGTTTCCTCCTGTGCCGCCTGGGGCTCGCGCCCGGGGAATGGCTGGTGGTTTCGTGTGACGACCTGCGCGAGTTCTACTACACGTTCAAGGTCCCGCCCGCTCGTGCACGCCGCAACGCCCTCCGCGTCAAGCTACCCAGCTCGCGGTTCAGAGGCTTCAACGCGTGGCGGGCAGACCTTGAGGGGTTGGACGTTTCTCCCTGCCTTAATGCGCTGGCCATGGGTGACAACATGGCAGTGGAGATCGCCAACTCCGCACACGAGGGCGTGCTGCGTAGCTTCGGCGCGCTCCGGCCTTCCGAGCAGGCTGTGCATCGCCTGCCGTTCCCTCGGGGGCCGTACGTCGAGATGTTAAACATCGACGACCACACGGGCTTTCAGAAGCTCTCGTGGCGCGGGAGCGCCCCGCGCCCCGACGACCCGACACGCCGCGACAGGGAGGTCTTTGCTGCGTGCGATCGCGGCTACCCCCAGGTGGGTCTCATTCAGCACCCCGGGAAGAGAGCCAGGGGCGAGACCCACAAAGTCGTTGTCGGCGCCGAGGTGGAGGGCAGGATCGGCATAGTGTGTGCTCCCCTGGTTCGCACTGTGGCCCTTTGCCGCCTGACTCTGATTCAGGTGTTCCTCGGTCGCTCGACCCGGGCGTTGTTGAGCTCGCTCGTGGGTTGTTGGGTGCAGGTGTTTTTGTATCGACGTCCCATCCTGTCGATATTCACTCACATCTACACCTTCATCACGACACTTCCCGACGACGGGCTTGAGTATGAGCTCCCGTCTTCGGTTCGCGACGAATTGCAAGCCTGCACCTACCTTGCCTTCGTTGCGATGACCGACCTTCGGGCGACGCCTTGCCCTGAAGTGTTCGGCACGGATGCCTCCCTCGGCTGGGGCGGTGTTGTCCGCAGCGACATCAGTTCGCACCTGTCACAAGAATTGTGGCGGCGCTCCGAGCACGGCGGCTGGCATACTCGTCTCCACGACCGCCACTTGCTCATGGTTATGAGCCGCGGGGAACCTTTAGGCCCCGAGCTGACCCAGAGGCACCGCGAGGTGGGGCTTCCCTCCCTCGAGCTCCCCATCGCACCGCGCTGGGTCAGCGAGCTGTCGGAGGCGCTGCGTTTCCGTTTGGCCTACAAGTGGGAATTCCGCACGCCCCGCCACATCAATATCCTGGAGACCACCGTGTTCAAGAGTCTGTGCAAGTACTGTTGCATCCGCAACCCTGACTCACGGATCCCTGTTCTCTTGGATTCCCAAGTGGCACTTGGCGCGGCCGCCCACGGTCGGAGCAGCAGCCCTGGCCTTTCGCACGTGTTGAGCACCTGCTTGCCCTACATTTTGGGGGGCGGGCTCTACATGGGCGGGCTCTACGTCCCGACCGACGTCCACCGAGCGGACGACCCCACGCGCAATCGCCCTGTTCGCCCCCCCTCGCGTGTCGAGCCTGCTTGGTTGCTTGACATAGACGAGGGTCGCTTTGCGCGATTCGACATGATAGCGGCCGCCGACGCCGCCTCCGCGTACCCGACTTGTCTGCGGGGCCGGTTCGTGCTGCAAGTTCTGGCTCGCAGCCCCGCCGCGGGCGCAGGCCCGCTCGGGCACCCCGAGGATTGCCACGTGGGAGCGCCAGCCCGGGTCGACAGGGGCGACGCGACGGCCTCCGCCGAGGCCCGCGACGCATATGAAAGCGCCGCGCCGCGCAGGGGGGCTCCTGTCTCCGTCAAGGTGCCCTCGAGCGCGGCGGCGGTGAGCTTCTCCGCGTCGCGCTGCACTCGCGCCCGTGACAGCCTGCCGGCCGCCCCTCGGGTACCAAGCCCTTCGCCGTCCCCGCCGGTAGGCATGCGCCCTTCCAGCGATGCTGTTGCGGCCCCGCAGGGAGGGGTTCGCGCCGCCGGTGGAGGGCCAGGAGAGGGCGCGCCCGAGCGGAGGTCACGCGCCAAGAGCGACGCAATCGCCGCTGCTCGACCTGGTACGCCCAAGGGGGACGCTCACCCCGTCTCGCTTCTGTCGGAGGCGAACGGCTCGGCTCCAGCTTCGTTGGGGGGTCTTCTGGGTCGTCCGTCCGTCACGATTCAGACTCGCCACCGCCAAGATCGTGCCGCCAAACTTGTTGCCGCGCTCGATTTGCTCCACCTGGAGCGCGGTGCGACCACGGATCGCGTGAACGCCCAGTTTCGACGGATGGGTTGGGCCTGCCATCCCGACCGCGATAAGTCGATCGAGGCCAGCAGGAAATTGCGTGCTCTCTGTGACGCCAAAGCCTTCCTCCTCGGGCCTGGGCGCGATGTTACCGGCCCCGATCCCCCGGCCTCTGACGGCGCTACTCGCCGTGCTTTGGGCAGAGGGCTCTTGGCGGCGGGAAGGCGTGACGACGCGAACCGCTCGCGCGGGGTCGCCACTCGGGATTCGGCTCTCGACGCCTCCCTCGGTGCTTGCCTCCGCGGCATGCCGGGGGAGCGTCGGAGCGCCCCTGGCGCGTTCCCAGACGCAGAGCCGAGCGCGGTCGCTAGCTGCAGCGACCCAGGGTCGCGGGCTGCGCCACGTTGTACGGCGCAGACCCCCGCGATGCCTACTGCCGCCATGCGACGCACGCAAGCTCGCCCGGAGGCCGACCTGGGGGCCGCCCGTACCGCGGCCGCGGTGCTCCCGCCCTTTCGAGCCAGCACCCTGCCCCCCCTGCCAGGGTGCCGCGCCGACGCCCATAGCGTCGCGCCGCGCGCCAGCTCTGCACCTGCCCTGCTGGCCGGGCGCTCGCTGGGCGCAGCGGCTATGCTGCGTGCTACCCGCGAGCGGGCTGCCAGTGCGGCCACCGCCGGGGCGGCACAACACAGGGCCGTGCTTCCGTGGGGCCACAGCGCAGAGCGCAGCGAGGTGTCGCCGGCTCCCAGCTTTGCCGACTCCTGCTGCGCCGGCCAGCGTGCCGACTCTTGCGCCGCCCAGCTCACCGCGTCCCGCGGCGACCAGCTCACTGACTTACAGCCCTCCCAGCTCACCGACTCCCGCACCGACCAGCTCGCCGACTCCCGCGCCGACCAGATCGCCGACTCGCGTGCCGAGGGGCTCGCCGACGCCCGCACCGACCAGCTCGCTGACGCCTTCACCCGTTCCGACTCCCGTGCCGATCCTCTCACCGGATTAGCATTGCGCACCAGCCGGGTCGTTGGCCCAACGGCCACGGTTGCGAGGCGCGTGCGTGACGAACGGCGCGCTCTGGCGCGGTTCCGTGCCTCGGTCGATGTTCTCGACGCCGCTCTTACCGAAGTTGAATTCGGTCGAGGCGCGGAGGCTTGGGGTCCAAGTGCAGGAGAGCTGGCTGAGCTTTTGCAGACGACACTGGCCGAGCTCGAGCGCCAGAAGGCTGCGTTGCGCATCGCCCGCTCTCGCACTGCCGAGTGCGTCCGAGGGTCCGCTTCCGCCTCGGGCTTTTCGGGTGGAGGCGCCGCCGCAGCCGCTGCCGGCGCACCCCCGAAAGCTCCCGCCACGGCTGGTAGCGCTACTTTTGCAGCTCAAGCGAAGGAGCGTGCGGCTAAGCACACGGCTAGCTATCGCGACGTGGTCGAGGCTAGGGCTCATTCGGGCGCCCAGGCGTCGCATCCGCGCGAGCGCCGTGGCGTCGGGCGCCCGTGCTCTGCGGCGCCCGTCACGCCACGGACCGCCTTTAGTTGCGATGAGCGCTCCCGCTCCGCAGCACCTGCCGCCACCCGCTCGGCTGCGTTTTCCGAGACGCTGTGCGCTGTTGACCGCAGGCGGCGCGAGCACTCCCCAGGACTCAGGCCTCTGATCCTGGACGGCACGGACCGCCAGCCGGAAGCCGCGCCGAGCACCGGCGAGGTCGTCGAGGCCCCCCGCGCCGAGCAACGCGGCCGCACCTCGCGTCGCAAGCGCAGGCGTGTTCGGGCTTCCGCCGGAGCGGCAGCTACCACTCCTGCCAATCCCTCTGGTCAAGAGCCGCCCGCGTCAGCCTTCGTGGCAGGGCGCCAGGACTGGCCTGCCTCTCTGGAGCCTGCCCTTCCCGAGGGGGCTTCCGAGGCCCTCGGGGTGAAGGTGGAGAGCCACTCTCGGCGCCTCCCCTCTTGCGGCGACCAGCGCACTCGTTCGCTTAAGGCGTTTGACGTGTGGTGCGCCGAGCACACAGGAGTGGCACTTGCCACATGGGCTCGCAGCGGCATCTTGCTCGGGAGAGCGCTCGCGACCTTCGGCGTGTGGTTGTACGATGCTGGCTTCCCCCGCCTCGTCCTCGTGAATGCGATCCGGGGAGCACAGGCCCTTCAGCCCCACTGGAGGGGCTTCCTCACCGAGGCGTGGGATGTGGCGGAGCGGTGGATCCCTTCCAAGCCTCCCTGCCCCCTCCCACCGCTACCGCGTGCTCTGCTGCGCGCCATGGTAGCGTTGTGCCTCGCATGGGACTGGCCGGATATGGCCACCCTGCTGCTTGCCGGGTTCACTATGTCCGTGAGGCCTGGTGAGTTGGCAACCGCCCGCCGGAGCGACCTCACTCTGCCCATTGACCGCCGTGAGTCCACGGGCGACGCTTTGCTGAGCATCTCTGTTCCGGAGGCCCGGGGGTCTGGCGGAGAGCGTCAACACGCTCGGTGCTCCGATCGAGCAGTGGTCAGGATGATGGAGCTGGTCTTTAGAGATTTGAGTCCCACCGATCCCCTATTGACCTTCGGTCAAAGCGGCTTCCGCACTCGGTGGCTCGATCTTCTTTCGGCGCTGGGCGTCCCGCTCGCCAGAGCGCCATCGGGGTTCGATCTGCCCCCTGCGCTGCGCTTCAGAACCGATATTTCGGACGGCATTAATCGCGTCTTCTGGCGTGATCGCTGGCGGCTAGCTTCCAGTACCGAGCGCTATCTCCACGATGCTGCCGCCTCTGCAGTCCTCCCATCTTTGGCTGAAGCCGCTCGGGACCGTGTTTCTTACCTCGCCGAAGCAAGCGACCTCCTCGTCGCATCCTTTCTGAATGCTGGCCCAGCTGTGTGGCCCATTCAGCTCGCGGCCGCCCGCCGAAACCTTGTCACTTCGCAAGGGCTTTGAGCCTGGGTATGGCTGCTGCGGCCTCCCTTGGCCGCCCGGGTGCCCTCGTTGGACGAGGCCGCCTGAGAGCGTCGCACGGCCCGCCCGCGTAGGTCCTGTCCCGCTTTACGGGCCGCCGCGGGCGCGCGCCGCGCGTTCGCCCTGAGACGACTGCTCACTTGCGCAGCGTGCGGGGATGCTCCTTCTTATCCCCATCGCGCCCGCTGATTGCAGTCGTCTGCAGCTTCTCGGCCCCCTCCCTCTCTCCTCCCTCCTTCTTCGAAGGCTGACCTGCGGCGCTGCTGCGGCCTCCCTTGGCCGCCCGGGTGCCCTCGTTGGACGAGGCCGCCTGAGAGCGTCGCACGGCCCGCCCGCGTAGGTCTGTCCCGCTTTACGGGCCGCCGCGGGCGCGCGCCGCGCGTTCGCCCTGAGACGACTGCTCACTTGCGCAGCGTGCAGGGATATATGTGTGTATGTATGTATGTATGTATGTATGTATGTATGTATGTATGTATGTATGTATGTATGAATATATATATATATATATATATATATATATATATATATATATATATATATATACACAAGACTGCAGTGGCGCTTCGCGCCATGCACCTTGGTCCATGAAGTTTGGTACGCATGCGGAATAGCAGGAAGGTTAAACCGACAATTTAGCGATAACTCTTTGTTGCTTTTTTCTGGCGTCGCCGCTCTGATAATATTAGTTATTCGTTATCCTTCCTCCATGTTTTTTCATTTTCGCCATACCCTGCGCATTCTCCCCACCCTTCTCAGCTCTTTTTTGCGGAGGCTCCTCCTGGGAGAGCCCCTGGGGACCTCACAAAAGTCGTTTCAGGCGTTCTTAAGGCCTTCTGGAGGCCTCCTGGGCGTATTCTGGGGGCCTGTGGGGGCTTCCTCGGGACACCCTGCCTCCAACCGCGGTCTCCCTGAACGACCGGGTCACGATTTGGTTTGCTTCGGAGCGTGTCTTGGGGCCATCTTGGGCCGCCATGGGGCTCTCTGAGGGCCATTTTGGACCCGTGTTGTGCCGTTTTGGGGCTCTCTTGGACTGCCTGGAAGCCTTTTCGGATGGTTGTGGGACGATTTGGGAGCCTCCCAAGCGACTTCGGACGCCGAGAAGACCGCCGTCTTGGAGCGCCGGGAAGCCGAAAAGAGGAGAACCCCAAACTTCACCAAAAACCAACAGAACATCCATGATGTTTGCCTCTTGGGGCCTTTTTGGGAGTGCTCTTGGAGGCCTCTTTGGGGCCGTCCTGGAGGCCTCTTGGGCCATCTTGAGGTTACGTCGGTCACTCTTGGAGCGCTCTTGCGCTGTCTTGGGGGTCTCTGAGACGTCTCCGATGACCGTCCTGATCGCCCTACGTGTGCTGGGACCGCTTCGAGGCCCGTCCAGAGGGTCCCAAAGCCCCAGATCCCGGGAGTCCTGTTTTGTGGGGGGAGGTTCCCCCCGCCCGGGCTTGCAAAACTATAGGAAAAGGAATGTACACATAAGTGCTGGGGTATATGTCTATGTGTTCGTTGTCTAACGAGATTGCATTGCGCAGTTCCGTTTCATCCTTCCGCTCTATAGTCTTTCTGGCTCAATGGATTTGGCCCTGCGTAGCTTGCAGGCCATCGCTCCTTGGGCTCCACTTCCCTCAGTGGCTCGCTGGCCCGATTGCCACTGTATTGCTGACTGCCGAGTCAGCAGCGATATAGTTGAACTCTTGAGCCGCCAGCTGGATCGCTGCGTGCCAGAACAGATCACGTGCGCCGCGTGTCCGAGCTGTCCAATTCTGTAGTGCCCAGAGGAGCCGTTCGCGTGGGGTGCGCTCTGCGGGGGGTTCTTATTAGGCGTGTTCGTCACGGTCGCCGCGGGCCTCGTGCTGTGGAGGGTGGCTCGCTTGTTGGCAGCGAAGACAGATGGCAGGTCTCAGCCCTCCAAAACGTACGCTGCACTCCCTGCAGAATCTAAGGACTCGAAGGGCCCCGCCTACTACGATCCGCACGATGACTACATGCTCGGAGGGATCAGGTTGGCGCATATTCAGGGATATCGTCTCGTGGGGCTCGACGCACCTGGGAACATGTGTGTGACGGCTGGCAGGTCCATGGGGCCGACACGGCGGCCTTGCTGCATGAGAAGATCTCGGAGGCAGGGTACACGGTGCTGCAGAGGCATTGTTGGTGGAGGACTGCGCAAGGCCCCCGGGCTTCCGACGCAGGCGTGGTCGACCATCACTTCCTCTCAGTCTGTATGCAGGAGCTCACGACGCACGACCAGCCCCACGCGGGCGAGCGAGTGGTGTCCGCGATCCTGCGCCGTCGGTACCAGCTCCTCGAGGTGCTCCACGCATCGAGCTTGCGCAAGGACGAGGACGACCAGGACGCCAAGGCGTGGCTCGACGAGCGGTCCAGTCCCGGGGGGGCACTACAGGAGTCGGCGCTCGACGGGACACAACCCGTTCGTGCGAGCTGGGTTGTCGAGAGTCGCTGGGAGGAGACTGCCATCCCGCATGGGCGCGGGACGGTACGAGAGGAAAGGTTGCTGGAGCGCTGCGCCGACCCAGGCACTGCCTCCGGCCACGCGGCGGCGGTCGCCCAGCCCCAGGCACGCGGCCGCGGCCGCGTGCGGCGGGCTTGAGTCGCCGCCTCGCATCGGGGAGGCCCCCGGCCTCGGCGCGAGTTTGCAGGGGAGGCGAGGCGCGCGGGATGATGAGGCCCCCTCGCTGGGTTTTGGCAACGACGGTCTCGTCCAAAGAGACGCGCTGCCCATCCCTCTGGATTCGGAGACGCTCCACTACATGAAGGGGTTCTCAGCCCTCAACGGTGAGCTTCCGCTCGGGCAGCGGCGCAAAGCCGCGCGCTGCAGGCGGCAGGAGCGCTGGATGCTGGAGGGCGTCGCCGCGCTCAACGAGCTGGGCGGTGGCGGGCGTGCGGCGGGCTGCGGCGGGCGGCTCAGCTTGGCTCCGCGCTCCGCGCTGCGCCACCTGGCCGAGGTCCACGCCTCCTCCCCGCCCAAGACCGAAGTGCGCGCCAACCAGGAGGCGTTTCAGGCGCTTCTGGGGCTTCGACCTGGCTATGCTGATGAGCCTGCTATCGGGGCGAAGGCGGGCTACCAGCGCGGGAAGGTCTCTCTTCCCCCTCGCGGTGCGGGTAAGGTTGATCTCGTTCGACTGCTCCCCTTGCACCTGCAGTCCGCGTTGGGGTCTGGGCGCGGGTTACTGCGTTCTGAGCAGGGGGCATTTGCCGCTCTGGACGAGGCGGATGTCGCATGCTATGTTGACAGCGAGCTGGCCCAGCGGGGCATCGACTACGGACGGTTCTTGCTTGAGCTTTTCGAAGCAGGCATCGTCGAAGTTTTGGACTACGAATCAGAGCGGAAGGAGGAGACGGGCATCTTCTTTGCACCGCGCAAGGATGACAAGTTGAGGCCTTTGACACCAGGAGGGAAAACTGCCATTTCAGGGCGCCCGAGTACACACACTTGGCCTCTGGGGGCGCCCTCAGCAGCTTGGAGTGCGCGCCCGGCGAGGAGGTGCACCTGGCTGCTGGCGACGTGGAGGTCTGCTTCTATCAATACCTGCTACCGGGCTGGGCCAGGAACTACTTCTGCCAGCCCGACGTGGCGACCCAGTTGCTGCCCGCCCGGCTACGTGAGGCGCTGGGGCAAGAAGGCGCTTCGCGGCCTCGGACTACCTTCCGTGCACGCGTCGTCCCCATGGGATGGAACTGGGCTGTGCACCTCGTGCAGGCCGCCCACCTGAACGTGCTGGCCTCTGTCTCTCCCGACAACCAGTGGCTGGTCGACAAGCAGCCGGGGGCGTTCCTGTCGGACAGCACGGACGCCGCTTAAGGTCCTGTACATAGACAGCTGTGCTGGGATCTGTACCAGCCGTCCGACTGCGAGGCAGGTCGTCAATGACATGCTGGACACTTTCACGACAGAGGGCGTCAGGGCCACGCTCGACCTGGACGATGCCCTCCTTGGCATCGCGCAGGTTTCGAAGGCTGCCAGGTGGCGTCCTGCTTCCAAGAAGTTCTGTCGAGTGCACGGCTGCATCCAGTACTTGCTGGAAGCGAGGAGATGCATCACTGGGCGACAGCTGGAGAGGCTAGTGGGGCATGTGGCGGCATTGCTGTTCCTGCGGCGCGAGGCGCTCAGCATGCTCAGATCAGTGTACGTTTTCATCCGCTCGACCTACGACAAGGCCCAGCCGCTGTGGGCCAGCTGTCAGCAGGAGCTCAGGTGGGTGCTGGCGCTACTGCCCACCGCGTTCGCTGATATGAAGAGGCCGTGGCACGCGGAGGTCGGGACCTTTGACGCGTCTTCTTGGGGGGGCGGGGGTCTGCGCGGCACGCTGGCTTTTTCAGCGCGGTGCAGGCCGCGGGGCAGGCAGCCGGAGAAGCTGCGCTTCCGCGGGCCCCTTGCCACTTTGGTGGCCCCGCGGGATGCCGCCCTGGCCGCCGACGCGATCGAGCTCTCTGACCCTGCTGCACCCTTGCTGGGCCGAGCGGCGGGCTTTGCAGAAGTGAATACTGAGCTGCTGTGGGAGTCGAACTGGGTCACTGCGGTGGCCTGCAGGTGGAGGCGGAGTAGTGCCATCCACAGGCTCGAGAGCTCAGCAGGTCTGCTCTGGCTGCGGCGCGCCTCTCGCAATTTGCAATGTCACGGGCATCGTCTGCTAGGCTTGGGTGACAATATGTCGATGATTTGTGCTCATGAAAAGGGTCGAGCGTCGGACTACGGCCTTTTGTTTGGCTACCGTTGCTCTTTCGCCATCTCAGTCGCCTGCAACCTCAAAGTCGCCTTCAGATGGACCCCTTCAGAGCTCAACCTTGCTGATGGCCCCTCGAGGCGATTTCAAACTGGCCCGGGGCCGTCGTGGCCCAAGCAAGGAGACCAGTTTCGGCGACGTCGGAGCAGTGTTGAAGCAGGAGGTGACCCGCCAGGCGGCCGAGCCTTCTGGGCTGCCCATCCTGCCCGAGGCGGCAAGCGCGGATTCGCAAGGATCAGAGCGCAGCCGCCGCCGCCTTTCGCCCAGGAGCGGGCCCGCTTGCCGCCCCGCCGGGGCTTGCTGGCGATCAACAAGGTGCAGCCGTCCATTCTGGTGCGCTTCCTGAAGCTGTCGCAGCTCCCGGCAGGCTGGCGCTTCGCAGCCACGCCGGTCGCCAGGCCAGAGGCGGTGCGGGGCGCAACGCTAGCTGGCTTCCTCCTGGAGGCCTTCGACCAGAGCTTGGCACGGGCGGTGGCAGCCCGGGCTCGCGTGGGCCCTTCTCGGGCCCCAGAGGCGCTGGCGTTGCAGGCTGCTCGGCGCACAGGCCCAGCCAGCGCGGATCCCAACGCAGGCTTGGGCGCGTTGGTGGCGTCGCTCATCGCACTGCTGGGGCTGCCAGGCAGGACAGGCGTGAGGGGTCACACTGCTGCGCTCTGTCTTCTGCGGCAGCCGGCCCAGGCGTGGGGCTGGGCGCGCCGGCTGGAGGCCCGCCCAGCTGCCTCGCTCCCGGCGTGGGGCTTCGGCTACAGCCTCCGCCAACGGCGCTCTGGCCAGGTGCGCGAGGATGTCAAAGCCAGGTGTTTAGCAAGCACGCTCTAGCGCCGCAGACACGGCGGCGCCACCCGCGAGCACCCAACGGGCAGCCGCATGCTAATGGAGGTGCAGCAGCGCGCAAGTTTGCAGGCCTTCAGCAGCGTGCGGCTTTCCGACGAGCTAGGATGAGCAGCGATCGAGGCGATGAGAAATTTAATCCTGTACCACCCAGCCATCGAGCCGTTGGCCGATGGGCCAGGCGCCGTTTGCAATCTGTTCTCGCAGCAGCTGCGAAGTGCAGCACAGGCCCCGACTCACGTGTGTTCATCGAGCTTTTTAGTGGGTCAGGAAACCTTGCCAGGCACTTGCGCCAGGCGGGGCATGCCGTCATTGAATGGGATGTGTTACACGGGCCTGAGTTTGATTTGACTCACGCGGCGCCTTGGGCAGTGCTTCGAGGGTGGATCCAGAGCGGCAAAGTCAAGGCTCTGTTCTTGGGCACACCTTGTGAGACACTCTCGCAAGCTCGGCGAGGTGGGCCCAACTCGCGCATGCCCAGGCGCCTGCGTGACAATACTCACCTTTGTGGCTTGCCTGGCCTATCCGCCGCTGATCAAGCCAAGCTCAAGCTTGGCAACCTGTTAGCTCAGCGTGCCGGACAAGCCTGGCAGCTTGCGACCAAATTTAACATTCCCATCTGCGAAGAAAACCATGCAGTAGTTGGCTGTGGCATTTCCCCGACAGACGGCGCCGTGCGCTCTTTCCCTCATTCTTTGAAGCTGTTGTTGATGAATTTGCTGCGGGGCGTCCCTTTCGCGCTCGCATTCGCTCTCACTTTCTGCATTGCCGCCCTTCCCCCAAGCTCCTGTCCCTGAAGTGTCATGGCCGCGGTATCTGCGACTTTACAGGAGAGTTTTATCTCGAGTTGTCTGGCAAGGCCAAAGGGGCCATTCATTTTCGCACGCGCCAAAAAAACGCCGATCCTGATGCCATCTGTCAGCAGCTCGCGCAAATGCTCTCGCAGACGATCGTCGCTCGAACCGTCTCTCGTAAATGGATGCTTACGCACGGCTAACCAGCGCAATGCTTGCGGACGGGAACTTTGTTTTGTTGCATATGGGCGTGTGGCCGCCTGCCAAAGCTTCTCGTGCCATGCTTCGTGTCTCAAGCAGCCTACTGGAAAAAAAGAGATGCATGTTCGTTGTCTAAGGAGATTGCATTGCACAGTTCCGTTTCATCCTTCCGCTCTATAGTCTTTCTGGTTCCCTCCGCCAGCCCTGTGCCTCCAGAGCGCCTCTCTTTACAGCGGCGTGTGGCCGCCTGCCAAAGCTTTTCGTGCCAGGCTTCGTGTCTCAAGCAGTTTACTTGAAAAAAGAGATGCGTATATGTATGTGTACATGTATATGTATATGTATATGTATCTGTATATGTATATGTATACATCTATATACACACACGCACCTGGACGCTGGCGCCCCCAGGGCCCCCTTCGAGACGCCCAGCCCCCTGCGAGTGTCGTGAAGCATCATGGGCGGCCCAGGCCAAAAAGTTTCCCCAGGGGCAGCGTGCAGGTGTGGCTTGGCTGTCTTCGTTGCTCGTGCCTCCCCGGACTGTTTGGGTGTCTGTTTGACAGGGTTTCTGAGACTTCTGTGCATGGCTTGTGCCACTTTGCACCACTCTCGGTGGCTGCCCAGCAGCATCTGGTTGCCATTCAAGCCACAGCTATGAGGCTGCTGCGTGGGTCCTCTCCCCCATAGTCTGTTATAGACGGCTTCTGAGACTTCTGTGCATGGCTTGTGCCACTTTGCACCACTTTCAGTGGCTGTGCGGCAGCATCTTGTTGCCATTCAAGCCACAGCCTGGAGGCTGGTGCGTGGGTCCTTTCCACCAGCATGTCTGGAGTCTGTTTTAGCTCCTGAGACGTCTGTGCACATGAGCGCCCACCCTTTACAGCATTCGTGAAGGCCGCTACGAGAGACCTTGTGCAATATATGCCTCGGCTCCTCCGCATTCGAAGACCCTGCTGGGGTACCAGGGGCCCTGGGGCCCAGGCCCAGACACCCTCCCGGATCCCCCCTCCTGGCCCACGTCATCGTTGACCCGTGCGGGGCCTCCTGGGCCTCCTTGGCTTTTTTCTCCCGCCGCCCAAACAGCTCCAGAGGCTAGAAGCGACGAGAGCAGACTGACAAGGCCGCAGACGCGCGAGTAAGACGGCTCAAGAGGCCACGAAGACATCCCAAGAAGACTCCACGGTGCGCCCCAGGAGGGCCCCGGCGGGAGGCCAAACTGTCTTCGCTCAGGGTGCGGGTCTCTCTTCATACACTGCGCGCCGAGGGGCAATGCGGAAAGATGAATGCTGCGGAGCACGCGCGCACGGGTGCGCTGGACTCAGTGGCGATCCAGAGAATCAGGCTGGAGAGGTCCAATTCGGAGGTCGAATTCGGAAGTCGGAAATCTGAATTCGGATATCCGTGTTCCGGTTCCGGGTTCCAGGTTCCGGATTGGACCTCCGAGTTCGGATATCCGGATTCCAGGTTCCGGATTCCAGTCCGGATGGGACCTCCGAATTCGGATATCCAGAATCGGGGTTCCGGGTTCCAGGTTCGCGGTTTCGGATTGGACCTCCGACGGCGGATATCCGGTTTCCGGGTTTCCAGTTTCCAGGTTTCGGATTGGACCTCCGAATTCGGATAGTTATCCGGATTCGGAGTTCTGGGTTCCAGGTTCCAGATTGGACCTCCCAGATCGGATATCCGGATTCCGGGTTCCGGGTTCCGGGTTCCAGGCTCCGGATTGGACCTCCGAATTCGGATGTGCGGATTCGTGGTTCTGGGTTCCGGATTCCAGGTTTTGGGTTGGGCTTCGAATTCAGATAATATCCGGATTCCAGTTTCCGGGTTTGGAGTTCCAGGTTCCGGATTGGACCTCCCAATTCGGATATGCGGATTCGTGGTTCTGGGTTCCGGATTCCCGGTTTTGGGTCGGGCTTCCAAATTCGGATCTCCAGATTTTGGGTCCAGGTTTTGGGTTCCAGGTTATGGGTTGGTCCTCCGAATTCGGATATGCGTATTCGGGGTTCTGGGTTCTGGATTCCAGGTTCCGGATTGGACCTCCGGATTCGGATATCAGGATTCGGGTTTCCGGGTTTTGGGTTCGAGGATCCAGATTGGACCTCCGAGTTCGGATATTCGGATCCCAGGTTCCGGGTTCCGGATCCAGGTTTCGGATTGGACCCCCGAGTTCGGATATGCGGATTCGTGGTTCCGGGTTTTGGGTTCCAGGTTCTCAGACATGGAGGCATCCTCGAAAAATGATTGTTCGCAACATCTTCTCGGCTTTGGGTGCCAAGGACAAATCAGTAGGACCCCAACACGGCTCAAGATGCACCGAAGTTTGCCCAATACGTGTTCAAAGCAGCTATCTAAGACGGCTCAGTATAGCTCTTCTTTTTTCCCGGAAAGGGCTCGAGCCCAGGGTTCTCTTTTGGTTGGTTTATTCCCCCCCGTAAGAGGGCTGGCATATTTCCGCTCGATAAAGAAACAAGGTAAAGTCCAATTCGGCGTGAAACAATGCGTTTCGCGCGTGCCCGCTCGAGGAAAGTGGACCCCCCACCTCGGATCCTTGATAAATAACGGGGTCCGCCCGAATAATCCAAGAGACTCCCAAGAAGCCCCAAGAGGCCACCAAGGGGTCCCGAGAGGCCGACAAAACCGGCCCCGAGAGGCTTCGAAACTGCTTCCAAGAGGCAGGATGGGCCGAAGGCCCCTGGATAATTTGAGCGGCTGGGGGGAGGCCCCGGAAGGATCAGGAGGGGGTCCATCGGATGACGATATTTGTAACATCACCTGACTGCACCATTTTCCTGCTCGTCTTCTTCCCCTCGTTGCGTGCTCCTCCTTGTCCACTTCGGTCTTTCACAGGTTTCCCGCCCAGTTTTTTTAAAGGTACGCGGTAATCGGTGGCCGACGACGACGACGGAACGCCCCAACATGGGCGACGACGACGACGGAACGCCCCAAGCAGGCCCCCCCAAGACATTCCCACAATTCATGTT